GTTTAAAAAAAAAAAAAAGCAACCCCTTCCATATGTCAGGGAAGGCAAGTGGGTGCCCACTTCTCTAGAGTGGTTCCCAGAAACTTGCCTCTGGGGTCAGGTAGAGTCCATCTAGTTCAGATAACTGTCTATAACCAGCAATTCTTGGTGGAGTTCTCTAACTTGGGAGTTTAGGAAGACTAAGAGAACTTGTAGAGTAGTAAATTCTGTGACTGAACTACTACAATATTCCATTTGCCTCTGTAGCTATTGCTGTATCTCACTTCTTACCTTCATTGTCAAACTTTTTGAAGTTGTCTACACTCAACGCTTTCCATTTGCTCACCTCCCATTCTTTTCTCAACCCACAGACATTTGATTTCTGACCTCTTCACTCTGCTATTAAACCCCTGTCAAAATCACCAGGGATCTCCTTGTTGCTAAGTCTAATGGACATTTTCAGTCTTCCCCTGATTTGAGTTCTTTGCAGTAGTTAGCATCATTGACTACTCTCCTAAAATTCTTTTTTTCCTGAGTCTCTTTGGTATCATCAACTGCTGTGGTTTCTTCTGTTTTCCTAGCCACTGCTTCTCAATTTCCTTTGAATCATTCCCTTCCTGTGTGTATCCCTTAAATGTTGGTGTACCTTAGAGTTCTGTCCTTGGCCTTTGACTCTTCTCATGCTATATGCTGTCCCTGGACCATATCACCCATTATTGGGACTTTAATTACTGTCTGGTTATTGATGACTTCTAAATCTCATCTCTCTCTCTTGAGCTCCAGATCCACATATCCAGTTTCCCACCAGGTGCCTTACAGCAGGCCCACTCCTAACATGTGCATGGCCAGGGCAAGAGTACACACAGAGATCCCTGATCTGTTCTTTTTCTTCCCACTCCTCTTCTACCCCATACTGTAAGGGGCTTCTCAGGTCCACATGTATAAACATCTTGGCCTGAATTTCCAAGCTCCATCCATTCTCCTCCCAAACAGCCACCTTTTTTGGCCACTCCTTAGGCCTAGGAGTATTGCATGATGGCAGAGAGGTCCATTCTCAGGAGGGCAGACCTGGGGAAGAGGCTTGTCTATGGGCTGAAAGTAGACTCAGGCCATTCGAGAGGAAATTTTGGAATCCTAGGAATAAGAAATGAAGCAGGTCTGAAAATGGGGGTGTGAGCTCTGAATAATCATGTCCCTTTAGCCCCACAGAGAAAGGCTTGGCTTGAGGAGAATCAGAATGGGGACTATCTAAAGTGTGGGGTCTAAGGCAAGGCCCCCAATTTTCCAAGTCTAAGGATTTTAACTGCTCCCATAGGTACCTTAAAACCAACATGCAGACCTGAATTTATCATCTATCTCCTTTTTCTCCTCTAGAACTGCCTACCCACAACCTCTTCATACTCTTCTATTCCATATCTCAGCAAATAGCACCACCAAGCAATCTTTTCCCTTAGCCATAAACCTGAAAGTTGGACCTATCTCCTAATTGTCTTATGATGTCTGTCTTCACCTTATGACTCCACTTGCAATGCCTTAGTTTGGATTATCATCATTTATCAACTGCTCTCACTCCTACCATAAGCAGTTTCCTGCTTAAAAGTCTTCATTTGTTTTCCATTGCCCTTAGAATAATCCCAGTTCCTTAGGGCAGCAGTCCTTAACCTTTTTGGCACCAGGGACCGCTGCTCTTATGAGAATCTAATGCCTGATGATTTGAGGTGGAGCTGAAGCGGTGATGCTAGCACTGGGGAGTGACTGCAAATACAGATGAAGCTTGCTTGCTGGTCCGCTACTCACCTCCTGCTGTGTGGTCCCTAACAGGCCATGGTACTGGTCTGTGGCCTGGGGATTAGGGACCCCTTATGCCTTAGGGCATAGAAAGCACTTTGGGATCTGGCTCCTGCTTATCATTCTAAATCTATTATCACTTCCTCTTTTTACATATATGCTCTATCCAGTTGAACTATTTGTATTTCCCTGGATGGGCCACACTTATCCACACTTCTTTGGCTAATTATGTACCTCTCTCTTCACTGGAATGACTTTACTCACTAATTAATCCCTTTTCTTCCTTTATACCTCAACCTACGTGACACATTTAGAAATTCCTGTGCTCCCGTTAGTACTCCCTGCCCCAACTTTCTTTTTAGGGGACCTTCTTATGTGCTCTCATAGTACTCTGTGCTTTTGTATCATGCTAGTCTGTAATTCTGTTTTCCTCTCTGGAATGTGAGCAGCTTGAAGGCAGGAACTCTGTCTTTATGCCGCAGTACCCAGCATAGTAAAAGACACTTAGTAGGCAGGCCCTCTATAAATGTTTACTGAATGAATCAAAGAACTATGGAAAGAAGATTCTATTCATATATACTTTTTTTAAAACAATACTGGTTTTTAATGTAATTAATAAGCAATTTATATGCTACAATTACTATAAGGTAGAGGGGGATCTGAAATCAGTTTCTAGTTTTTGCCAATGACAATCTTTTAATAGGAATGACTATGAAAAGTGCCTCTGTTGTGATGAGCCTGGTTTTCTCCTTTTCCAAGCTCTGTGGAACCTTTTCTGGATGCCAAGATGTTGTGTCCTGGGATCGTTATGCCCTAATGGCACGGCCTTATTGCCAGTCTTGGGTTACTTACAACCTTCCACAACTTTCACTTTAATGTTAAAATAAGTGCTAATTCTATTGCTGTTAGGTGGCTTTATTTTCATTTAATACTCCCTGTAAAATGCTGGTATCCTGCTCCACTTATTAAGCTGGGAATTTTCTCACTTTGTGGGACACTAATGGCATCTGAGTTCTGTGTCTCTAAGTCTTGAATTCTGCCCTTTTGTATTCTTCAGCATGCTGAGGCAAAGGGAGGACTGCTACAAACTCCCTTTTTTGTGGGTGTAAGCAAGATGTAACTCTGATTGGGTTCCAAGTTGTAAATATGAATTTCCCCACTGATTACCAGTGCACATGAAATTATAATTTTTTCTGCATAAACAACCAATGCCCCATTCTAAATGTCTGCCTCTGTTTTTGGGAAAGTGGAAGCTAACTTTTTCTAGGGTAGGTGGGTGGAGGGGGTGGATGGAATGCCCTTAAGGAGCTCCATTTCAGGATGACTTGAGATAAGAATTTTTTAAAAATTATAAATTACACTCAATTTTCCTAACAATTCAGAAGTATATACAGTCATGTACTACTTAACGACAAGGATATGTTCTGAAAAATGTATCGTTTCGCAATTTCATCATGTGAACATCAGAGTACACTTACATAAACCTAGATTGGACAGCCTACACCACACCTAGGCTATATGGTATATACCACCATCATATATGCTGTCCACCTCTGGCTGAAATGTTGTGATGAGGCACATGACTTGTAGTAAAAAATTAAAATCTTCACCTACTCCTATACTCCCTTTCCATATCTCCCTCCTGCCCCCAGGTAGATATAGCACAGTTTAGAGGGTATCCTTCCAGACCTTTCTCCAGGCATTTACCCTTTTTTTTCCCCCCAGAACATCACATATGCAGCTTATTTTCACAAAAATAAGATTGTAACCTTTTCTTGGAGCTCTTTCCAGGTCAGTAGCTATTTATTAACTTTTAGCCACTGCATCCCATTCTATTAAGGTGCTTAAGGCTTCCAAAATGAACTAATTTTTATCAAACCAGGAAGGCTTTCAGTGTAATGTTAAACTTCTCTCTTGCTGCTACATAGTTCAAGGTGTTCCTAATTTAACCATTACAAACATAATATTGTTTGAGATGTACTAACAGACCAAGTGAGGCTGGCCTTGGTAAAGCTGGATGTTGGCCAGTTACTTGTGTTTAAATATTTGCTACTTAAAAAAAAAAATCTTTTTTCATTATGGTGGCTTTTGAACATACATAAATGTAGACAAGATAATAATATAATAAATCCCTATGTACTATCACCCAGCCCCAACAACCACCATGGCCAATCATGTGTTAATTTTAGGACTATCAACCAGTTCGGATGCACATCATATTTTAATTTCACAGCAATTTTGTTAGCTCTTATCTCCGGCTTAACTAAGTTGCATAGCTTGTTATAAATATAAACAAACAAACAAATAATGAATAAGTTCAACTCAGGATTCAACCCTGAGTCTGATATACCAATGGCTCCAAAACCTGGGTGTGCTCCTAATAGATGCCAGGGCCCCTCCAGACTTAGTAAAACTGAATCTCTGGTGGTGAAGAAGGGAAGAGTCCCTGGAAAATGAAGATTTTATAACATTCTTCGACTGATTTTGAAGAGCCAAGTTTGGAACCATTGTCCTACTCTATGCTGCCTGCCCAAGCAGTGGTTCCCCAAACCAGGTGTCAGGCTTCAAAACCTTGTAAACTTAAGCTCCAAGATTCCTCATTACACTCACTCTTGGCCGTAAACACCTTTCTTTTTTTTTTTTTTTTTTTTTTTTTTTTTTTTAAAAATCAAGACTACCAAAACTAAAATGCCACGGGAAGAGAGAGGCACTTTCCTCAGTCCCGAGTACTTGGGGGCGAGGCGGCGGCGGCAGTGAAGCATAGACTGGCTGACACTAACCCCCAAATGAGCCGAAGCCGATAACTCTGAAGATCAACCACGAAGGGAATCTGTTTCCTTTATCTGTCCCGGGGGCCTGCTTATTGAGTCCCATAGCTGCGACTGATTAAGGATGGGATCCACGTTACCAGCCCCCCACCCCCACCGCTCAAAGTCCCCTACTCTTGCTTCTAGACTAGCGCAACGGGGACTGGAGGAAAAGACGGAGCTTGTCATCAAGAATGAAAGAGCAGAGTCCCCCAGGCATCTAATCCGGGGAGGGGTAGGACCCCAACTCTAATCAGGTCGCCCAGGTGCGGTTCTGGAAGACCGCAAGCCAGGCCTACCTCCAAGCTCTCAAACTCAAATTTCCCGGGCGCCCCGCCCCGCCCCGCAACGGCTTGCTCTCCTGATTCCAAGGCGTCGCGCCGGAAGTGACCTCACGACGGTGGCGTAAAAACGCGGTGCGCTTCCGGCGGCGGCGGCGGCGGCGGCTGAGGCGGTAGGGGTGGACGTGGAGCAACCCCTCGGTCTCTGGGTCCCGTTACGTGGCCGGTTGGTCTGGCGTGGTGTGTCGAAGAGGTGCGGGCCCGACAGCGTGGAAGTGGGTACGAGGGGCGGCGGCTGGGCGTTTTTGGGAGGGGGCTTCCGGAGTTGCCAGGCGGGTTTGCTTTTAGGCTTCTGGGGTCCAGGCCTCGTAGACCTTCATAAAGGCGGGCACGAGCTGGGGGCCGCATCGGGCACGTAGGGGGCCGGGTACTAGGGGTTGCCTCGGGGATATGGTTTGAGGTGAGAGGCGGAGGATGGTGGGATTCTAAACAGTCTGGAAATTGAATGAGGTGTGCGGCATTAGAGGCCTAAGCTCTAGATTTAGCCTTGTTGATGGCTGCTGCAGCTCGCCCACTCATTGCTCGGTGCCTCAGTTTCCTTTTTCACAGTAGAGTAAGGTGTCAGGGAAGACCACGAGTGCCACATCTGCGTGCCACTGATAACTTGAGGACAGAGGTGAACTGGAATCTGAAAGGGAAGGGTGGCTGGAAAATTAATGATATTTGTCGGAGCCTAGCGTCTGCTGAATCCTGGGGACGTCCCCTAGATTCTTTCTTGATGTTGGTGTAAGTCTGAGCTTATTTTAAGTACTCTTTGCGTGATATTGATTGAATTTATCAATAATTGATTGTTGAAGTGGTTAAAGTGTATTGGTGTGTGGAAGACATAGTCCTCCTGCTTGGCCAACTGGTTTTCAGTAAATTTCCCACTTCCAGAATTAGGAATTGTAATAATCCTCTCCTTTGGTAACAGATGAGGAACTCGAGACCTAGAATGGTTTTTGTTCTCTTCCCTAGACACAGACATTTCATTCTGCTGTCTGTCGTTATTGGTCTCAGTCCCATCAAAAGTAACTGTCTTTGAGCAAGTCCGTATTTCAACGGGAGACTTCAGATGCACTCCAGTCTTTTTTTAGAAACAACAAATTAGGTGTACTGAGCACAAAACTCCTATTTGTTGGTTTCTCTGTATGAAGTGAAGATGATTACAAATAATGTAACTTTTTGATTACTTAGTATTTTTTGGTGGAGCTTCCTTGTGTGCTTAGAGCTGTGGGACTAGCAAAGTTTCTCTCAAACTTTTTTGACTGGTGACCCACAGTTAGATACATACTACATCTTGACTCAGTGTGCCTCTGCATGCACAAGGTATGTGTATACACACACACAGGGGACACAGAGATTTTCCCTTGCTACATTTGATGCCCTCTGATGTGCTTTAATAGAAAAAAAAAAGTTGATCGTAACTTACTAAATTGACTCTGACTGCCAGTGGGTCTGATAGCTAAAGATCTGTAATTTGAAAAATATTAGACTAGAAAATGTTTAAGATCCTTGTGAATCCTGAGATTCTGTAATTAATACAAAGTGGAAAATATCATTTTCCTGTTTTCTCAGCCAGAGTAGCAGGGTTACTAGAGTTCTTCTAAATTCAGCTAGAACAACAAACAGGACAGGACATTCAAATGATAGCTCAAAGGAGTATAGTATCCATAGTGATACTGTGTCATTTTTTTAGCAAGGCATTTGTTAAGTCTTTTATGATGGCCTGGTGGATGAGATGGAAGAATGTGCTAGATTGTGGTAAAATTAGATGGAGTCATGACTTAGAGTATCTGTGTCTGGAGGGGTTTGGTTTATGGACACAATTTACAGCTTGGATTCAGGTGATCTGAGTTGAGGCTCTGTTTCTTTGTTTATACAAGGTATGTCTTTGAATCCTTACCTGGAAGATGTACTTATCAAATTTGTTGCCTTTATGAAATGAAGAGAGAAAGTACCATCTGGATAATCTCAAGATTTTCCCAGTGCAATTTAGTGAAATGGAAGGGTCATATACATGTGAGGAATTTTACTTGGGTCCAAAAAATTCAGTTATACCAGTTATTGAAGGTAGAGAAGGGACTTAGGGGGTCATGTAATAAAAAGATGTGGAGTCTCAGTCCTCTGCATCAGTAGTATTGTTAGGCTGTGAGACGAACTGATAGGATCTGCAATAGTAGATTACATTAGGAAAATGTAAGAATGAGAAAAGAGGATTGGCTCACACCTGGAATATTAGGTTTAAGTCTGGGTACTCTACAAGAGTAAATTAATTTGAGGGTAGAAGTTAAAAGGAGTCCGAATTCATCGCATTTTAAAAAGTAATTTTTTATTGGCTGTCTGAAGATATGATGGCATTGCTTTGGCATGAGTGATTCTTTTTCCCCTTGTCATTTCAGGCATATTCAGTGTGGTCTTAAAACATTTTTGCTTGAGAGTGTCCAAAACACTGGGAAATCTGTGTCTCTTACACACTCTTAAGTTGGCATCTGAAATTTTTCAACATAAATTTAGGTAGTTTAAACATTTAATTTTAAAGTTTAGGATGTAATTTCTGACATAAATCTTGACTTTTTAAAAATAAATAGAAAGTTTTCTAAATACCATAGTAATTTTTAAAAAATATACAAATAACCTTTATATATTAAAAAAAAACTTGCTAAGATATGTATAAATGCTTATTACATTACTTGATTTTTCAGATGTTAAGCCAATCTTGTGTTCCTTTAATGAAACCCATTTAGTCATGGTGTATAATAATTTTTATATGTTGTTGAATTCAGTTTGCTAATATTTTGTTAAGAATTTTTGTGACTCTGTTCATGATGAATATTGATTTGAGAATTTCTTATAATCTTTTTGTCTGGCCTTAGTATCAGAGTAATACAGTTGATCCTTGAACAATATGGATTTGAACTGTGTGGGTACACTTATACACAGATTTTTTTTTTCTTTTCAGTTATTTAATTTTTTCACTATGGCCAGCCACGGCGAATAAACAAAGACACTCCGACGGGTTACAACAAAAGGTTTCCAGATTTTTTTTTTCTCAAATGCACAGTTGGCCTTTCTTATCCCTGGGTTTCACATCCGCAGATTTCAACCAACCGTGTTGTGTAGGGTCTACTGTATGTATTGTTTCATGCCATTTTATATGAGATTTGAACGTCCTCGGGGGTGTCCTAGAATCAGTCTCCTGTGAATACCAAGAAACAGCGTTAAGCTTTTTGGGAATCAAAAGTTACACGTGGATTTTTGACTCCAGTTTGGTGGGGTTGATACCCCTAACTTCTGCATTGTTCAAGGGTCAACTGTACTACCCTCGTAAAATTTCATGGGAAATGTTCCTTCCTTTTATGTTTTCTTGTATAGGATCATTAATTATTTCTTTCTATATGTTTGATAGAATTTACCAGTGAGGTCCCCTGGGCTTGAGCTTTTCTTTGTGGGAAGATTTTAAATCTTCTTTACTTGATATAGAGCTATCCACATTTTTTTATTACTTCTTAAGTTAGTTTTGGTAATTTGTATCATTCTGGGATTTTGTCCATGTCACATTTTTCCTTTTTGGATTTGTAGCCATTCTACTTTTCTCACAGAATTTTGTCTTAAAGCAGAAGTCAGCAAACTTTTTCTGTAAAGGGCTAGATAGTAGGCTTTGTGGGCCATGTGGTTTCTGTCATAACTACTCAGCTCTTTCATTGTAGTGTGAAAACAGCCACAAACAACAAGCAAACTGAGTGCGGTTGTGTGCCCATAAGACTTTATTGGTAGTGAGCCAGATTTGGCCCATGGGCTATAGTTTTCTGACCCCTGTCCTGAAGTAATAAATTTTATGGTTGAAAATCTTTCATTGATAATCTAGTTATCTAGGCAGATCAGGTTTATGAAAGAGAAGCGTAGAAATTGATTCCCTTGCTTGCATATCTTTGTGTTCCCCTAAGGATATGTGTATTCTAGTTTGAAGATTGGGACTTCACTTCTAAGATGTTTTAGAGGTAATTTAGGCATTTTTGTAGTTCTGTTTGGGTGAAAAGGGAGGTGGCCCTCAGAGTAGGATTTTCTAGGGCCATAACTCAAGTCCCCTATATGGCCAGTATTCTTTCCGCTAAAAAGAGACATATGAAATAAAATTTGCCATATGGTAGAAACTCTATAGACTATCTCATTTAATCTTTACCAGTGGTTCTGTGAGGCAGTGATATAATTGGTATAATTCTCATTTTGTAGCAGAGAGAGTTGAGAGTCAGAGTTGGGTAATTTGCTCAGGTAATAGTGCTGGTAAGTGGTAGAGTCCAGAAGCGAACCTGGGCCTGTGGGTTCTGACTTCAGAAATCCATGCTCTTTCACTATGCTGCCTTTTATAGAAGATAGGGACTTAGTAGTAGGGTTGTACTAGATGTTTTCTTTTAAGATCTCTGCCATTTCCAAGATATTTGATTCTATAAATACCTTTCCAGATGGATGCACAGAAAAATACCTAGTTTTTCAAAAATTCATAACTAACCACTTACTCATCCACAGCTATTGATTATAATTGTCCTTAGCAGACCAAGGAGTTGCTCCTTGGATCTGAATGCTGTTAAGGTCTGTCTGTTATGGCAGTTGAGATGGAAGTTAGGAGGTCTAAAGTTGGCAAGTTGTTTATTTGTAGTTCACAGATCATTTGGCAACTGCACAGGTGTATAACACGTGGAAAACTGTTTAGGGCTATCTGGCATGGTTATCTAAAGGCTTCCTACAAGAGAAATGATACAGTAAAGTTTCATATTTAGTGTGGCATTTTGTAGTCTGGAAATCTTGATAGTTCAGCATTTGAACAAAATAGTTTTGTATCTATGACTTCCCATGTACTATGCTCAGCATAAATGGGTACATTTGTTCACAAAGGCATATACAAAAATGTTTAATTCTTTATTCATAATAGCCTCTAAACCGTAAATAAGCCAACTGTCTATCAACAGGAGAATAGATAAATCCATTGAGGCATAGTTTTATAGTATGAGAAAGAATGAACTATTGCTATATGCAACAGCAAGGATGAATCTCATAGGTGTAATATTGAACAGAAGAAGCCGGGCACTTTAAAAGAGAACCTTTCTAATTTCATTTATATGAAAATCAAAAACAAGCTATCCTAATCTTTCATTGTAGGTACCAGAATAATGGCTACCTTTGTGGATACACAATGGAACCTTCTGGGATGTTTGAAATATTCTGTGTCTTGATTTGG